GGCGTAGTTGTAGTCCTAATTCCGATATAGTATTTTCTTTGTATTTTTATGTGAATTCAAATATGTGTACAGTCCCTCCCTTTTAAATACATTTAATTAAATAAACATAAAAATGTTTTACCTATTTTTAATCAAGTTTGTATTCTTTTTTTACGTTTTATAATAAAGCCATTAAATAATATGTTGTTACCTTATAAAAAGCAGAAAGAAAACAATCAAATTAAATTTGGGCTCGATAGAGAAAATGGAACTGAACTCTCGCTACAAAATTCAGATTTTCTAATATATCTTTGTAACCTGATGGTGTAAACCTTCAAAATTAAAATATTTGGTAATTTATAGTTAAAAAATAAGAAAGTTCTCCGAAATCAGGTTGCACAGATATTACTCTTAAAAATTAGAACTTTTTGTGAGAGCTCGGTTCCTTTTTAAAAATGAAATAAAAATCTGTAGTTAAAAAAGCATGAAGAAAAGAAAACTATAGTTTTAGCATTATTGGAAAGTTGAGAGAAAACTTATGTAAAGAGGGAAAGGTAGTATTAGTAGGGAAATATGAATAAAGAATCAAATATAAGAAACCAAAGAATAAGTGAGAAAATAGAAAATGGCCGATCATTAAGGATCGAAAGTAAAGAAGAGAATTAAATGAACAAATTAAGTTGTAGAATATTGTGTAATAAAGGAAAATATGTGAAAGAAAACTGAAAAACAAAGATAGGAAATGGAAAATGCGAAAAAATAGGAATTTAAAAAAATACATTTTAAAAAAACTGAAACTGAAAAAGAAAGTACAAATAGAGAATATTAAAGGATAAATAGAAATGAAAAGTAAAAAAAGTAAAGGAAGGTTGTAGAAAACGTTGCAAAAAGGTAATTATTTACGATGGGTTTCTCAAATTATATTTATAAATGAAGGAGCGGATTAAATTGGGATTTGAAGAAAAAGAAAAAAAATGAATTGAAGAGGATGGTAAGATATGGATTAAAAAAGGTGATCTATACAATATATATATCCCCCTGTACTCTGTAGTATATACTACAGTATATATACTCCCCTGTAGTATATGTTGTATAAACCAGAGTGTCAGGATTCCTTCTATCCCTGATAAGATCTTATTCTCTCCAGGTCCTAGTCAACTACATGCTTGGTTCGGATACCTGGAGCCGCCCTGCAGGCAAGGAACCTGGCTCCAGATACCATCTTCAGCTGGAGCTAGTAGTTCTATCCAACCTAATCATATAATAGCATGAGTAGGAGTCTTAAATTCTAATCATGAGAACTAGAAAGAGAGATGGATAGATAGAGTAAGATGAGAGAAAGTACAGAAGATAAAAGAAATAATATATTTGGTCGAAGTATATATTTGGTAAAATAAGATTATGGAGTAGGAAAAAAAATTAGATTAAGAATATAAAAAGAGTTTGAGTGGAAAATAAGAAACCAAAAACTTGCTCCATATCATGGAATCTATGACATCAAATCTAGGGAACTGTGATCGAAATGAAGGGAAATCATGGGACGGATTAAGAGTGAAGGGTGTGAAAAAATGGGAAACAGAAATAAATCAGGATTGAGATAATTGTACTAAAAATTATCTGAGATTGTCTGAATGAGAGGATAGACGAAGAAAAAATAAAGTAAGAATAGATATGGGACGAATTGAGAGGAATAAAGGAGAAACAAATTTGGAACAGATTGAGAGGATAGAAAGAGAAAAAATACGGGACGGATTGAGAGAATATAATAAGAGTAAATAGACGTAGGAAGGATTGAGAGGATATAAGGAGATATGAATATTGAATATTGGACTGGTTAAGAGGATAAAAAGAGAAATAAATATTGGAAGGATTGAGAGGATATAAGGAGATATGAATATTGAATATGGGACGGGATAAGAGGATAAAAAGAGAAATAAATATTGGAAGGATTGAGAGGATATAAGGAGATATGAATATTGAAAATGGGACGGGTTAAGAGGATACAAAAGAGAAATAAATATTGGAAGGATTGAGAGGATACAAGGAGATATGAATATTGAATATGGGACGGGTAAAGAGGATAAAAAAAGAAATAAATATTGGAAGGATTGAGAGGATATAAGGAGATATGAATATTGAATATGGGACGGGTTAAGAGAATAAAAAGAGAAATGAATATTGAAAGGATTGAGAGGATATAAGGAGATATGAATATTGACGGGTTAAGAGGATAAAAAGAGAAATAAATATTAGAAGGATTGAGAGGATATAAGGAGATATGAATATTGAATATGGGACGGGATAAGAGAATAAAAAGAGAAATAAATATTGGAAGGATTGAGAGGATATAAGGAGATATGAATATTGAATATGGGACGGGTTAAAAGGATAAAAAGAGAAATAAATATTGGAAGGTTTGAGAGGATATTAGGAGATATGAATATTGAATATGGGACGGGTTAAAAGGATAAAAAGAAATATAAATATTGGAAGGTTTGAGAGGATATAAGGAGATATGAATATTGACTATGGGACGGGTTAAAAGGATAAATAGAGAAATAAATATTGGAAGGTTAGAGAGGATATAAGGAGATATGAATATTGAATATGGGACGGGTTAAGAGGATAAAAAGAGAAATAGATATTGGAAGGATTGAGAGGATATAAGGAGATATGAATATTGACGGGTTACGAGGATAAAAAGAGAAATTAACATTTGATGGTTTGATCATTGATCATAAACCACTTGGAATGAATATCTAGTTCACCCTGGGTTTCTGGGGCTGGCGGGATAAAAAGTCTTCTGATGGCGTATATTTGAGCCTGTAAAACTTCATAAGGTTTGATCGAATCCAAAAACAAAATTTTCTTTTCCCGGACAGACAGTTCTCGAGTGAATACAGATCTTAAAATGTCAATGTTAATTTCGAAGTTGGTTCAGTTATATATACAAACTTGAAATATCTAAAAAAAAAATTTGTCGATAACAAAACAAATCATTTTTTTCCAGCTACGTAATGTGTATCAAACTTAAAATACTAAAAGTAAAAAAAATATCTTTACATATAATTTTTTTACCTGGTTTTCTTGTAAATAGCAAGGATTGCCTGGCAAGGATCATTTCTCAGCTCATCCAATACTTGTTCATGGAACTTTGAAACTTGATCTTCTATGCCAGATATAACACATGCATGATTGTCTGGATGAGGTATAGGAATCAGGCTCTAGATGATATTCGTCATTTTCCTCTTTGATAATTTCATTTCTTATCTTTAATCATAATCAATAGTTTTCATCTAAAAGTAGTAGCGAATTTAGCCTCAGTAGCATTTTTATAGTGTAGCGTTTTTATAGATACACCCGGATTATGAGCAGGGAGGATACAGGGGGCGGGGGGACATTCGCCCCCCTGAATTTTCAGAATAGCTTCTCAATAGCATGCTCAAGGGAAAGAAACCCTAGTGCAAAACAGGAAAAATATCTGTCTTAATAAATTTTAATGTGTGAAAAGTTAAAAATCTAGTTTTTTAGTCTATAGTCATTAATTTTGACTCTTTTTGAGTCTTTTAAGTAAAAAAAAATGTTCGACTGCGGCGCGATTTTTTGTTCCTAATTATGAATTTTTTTGTTCCTAAAAAATCTTGCCCCCCCCCCCCTCACTTAAATCCTGTATCCGCCCCTGATTATGAGGATTGAAGGAGAAAAGTTAAATCTAAGAATTAATTGATACAGAAGGATACCTTAATAGGGAAGGGTTACAGGAGAAATAAATATGATAAAGAATTTTAAAGAATAAAGTGGAAAATGAATATTACGGATTCAGATGATATAGAAGGAGAAACAATTGTGGAACAGATTGAGAGAATAGATAGATAAAACAAGTACTAGTCGGATTAATAAGTTAGAAAGAGAAAAAAACACGGGACGGATAGGATAGAAGGAGAAATAACCACGGGACGGATTCGGAGGATGGAAGAAGAAATAAAAATTGATCGAATTAATTGCCGGTGTCATGCATGGAGCGGACTCTTAAGGACATTTTAAATAGGAGGAAAGATGAGAAATAAATACTGGAGACGGATTGATTGAGTAGAGAGAGAATTTTTTTTTGCCTCCCCCTAAACATTTTTTGGGGGCAGGGGGGGCAAAATTTCTTTAATTTTTTGAGCATTATCTAAAAAAAATAATAGGCGTTTTTTTATAAGGGCTGTAAATTTTAAAGTTGGTTGTATTTATAATTAAACTTGGGGATAAAAAATTAAATTTAGGTGCAATTTAAAAATATTTGGTGTCAAAACCAAGGGTTACAATTGTTAAAAAAGGGGTCAATTTTAAGTCTTTTGGGCAATTTGAATAAGAATGCGTGAGAGTAATTTAAAAATCCAAATTTGGGGGCATTTATGAAAGAAAGCTGGGCCAAAAATAAAAAAGAATCTTCGAGCTTATATTGAAAAATGTTTTAGTCGAATTTGAGTTTGCTTAAAGGGTGTATAGTATGTAAAAAAAATTACTGTGGGGCATTTCTTTCTTCAAATTTTCAAGAAAATTAGCTAAATTTTCGGAATTATTACTGGACCGAATGGACTTCTGCCCCGCCCCCGCCCCCCCTACAGGTAAGGGCAAGCCTTCTTAAGGGTAGTACTTGCCCTCCTTTAATCAGGCTAGGGGGGCCTCTCCCCCATTGTCCCCCCCCTTAGTTGCGCACCTGGGTGAGGCTTGCCTTCGCCCTCCCCACTCTTTAACTCAATCAGCGGATAAATTGCATAGAATTATTTTGGAATGGAATGGGATTTAAATGTCGTCTTAGACTTTGTAAATCTTCGGAAAAAACCGTGACGGTACGAAAAATTGGTTCATTATGTTTGCCCGAGAGAGGAGGGACGTGTGAATCAGCTGTCTGTGGAACCGGTTCCGGTGAGTTGGCGAATCCACGGATTGGTGCGTTCATCTATTTCAGCTGAGTTGGAACACAATTTCGAAACGTAAATGTCGTGTCGGCTTTAGGAGTTGTTCTTCAGTGTGGATTCGATATCTCATCATGTTTTTATTTCCAGATTATCTCTTTTTCAATAAAAAAAATGCTGAAACAGGTGCTATTAGTGTTAGCTCTGAGCATTTATCAATTAAATGCCGAGGAGGGGGCAGCAAGATTACTTTTAGCTAAACAGGTAAACATAACTATGCGTACAATACTAAAGCAATTCGGCTTTAAACTTAGGTTGGGTTGGCCACTTAATTATGGGTGTATTGAATTTATAATGGGGATAAGGATATCAATCAGTAAAAATAAACATCCCTTTATCTTGATCGAAAATGGGGGGTCTGTCCTAGTTAACGATTTTTGGAACCCTCCCCTCGGCCCCCCCCCCATCCTAACAATTTTGTACATGACCTAATTAGTATTCATTTAGTATTATTTAGGGTTAGGTTATCCCCTAGCCTGTCCTAGCCGCGGCACTCGGCCCCCGAGCCTGTCATAGCCGCAGTCTTAGCGTAATCTAACCCTAAAATAATAAAAATAAATAATAACAATTTTTGCTGAAAATAAGTGGTCGTGTACAATATTGTTAGGAGGGGAGGGGGCAGGGGGGTGGTGTCCTAAAATCGTTCTTTAGGACAGACCCATCACATGGCTATGCTGGGCTATATTCTGACTACAATCATAAATAATTTTCTTAATTTTAAAACTTTTTTAGATTCATAACAAATACTTGGTGGAGGGTATGGATATTGTTGTTAAATACAGTGTATTCAACGTCGGAGACAGTGCTGCTACAAACATTCAGGTCTCAGACAACGGGTTCAGGTAAAACAGAATTTATTTTTAAATGTTAGGGTTTAATCAAGCTAGTGATAGAAGGTCAACTATTTGACCGATTCATTTAAAAGACTGTTATCCGCATATACACGCGAACTACCTGCTTGATAAATATATTTATTTATAATTAGAAACATACAGGGGTATTTTTCTTGATAGTCGATGAGTTAAATCCCAGTTCTTAAAGGGACTGTAAGCGTAATTTCAAGTGACCCTCCACGAAAAGATGGCAGTGCTCGATTTACAACGGTACCCTTTACTAATCAAGTATGAATTAGATATCATTGTTTTTTTCTTTTAACTGTTAATTTTCATTTGCGCTTTCTCTGTGAATTACGCATTTCTTGTACATTAGAAGCAATGGAGAAACTCGTAGAAATAAACGCTTTTCGAGTCAGAAAAACGTCGGTATCTTCCACATTTTTGATCAGCTTAAGGTTTCAAGGGTACCGTTGTAAATCGGACATTTTCATCTTTGCGTGGAGGGTCACTTGTAATTACGCTTGTAATCCCTTTAATCTTTCCTCTAACGTTTAGTAAATCATTATCTGTCCTGGCTCCGACCAGAAAGATGTACGATCATTGTAGATATAAACCCTTCCCATTAAAATAACCTCATTTTTCAGCATATCAAGCTTTGAATACCGCTAAACTTTAAATTTAGCATCTTTAATGAAGTTTTGGGGTATAATTACATTGTCTTTCTAGAATTTGTAATTGTTCGGATTTGACTAGATTTTCTCTGAATACTTGAAATTTTATTGACGTTAACAAATCTTTTTTTTCTAATTAAACTGAATATTTCAGGCCTGATGATTTCGATCTGGTGTCTGGACAGACTCAGTTTAAGCTGGACAGGTTGGCTGCTGGATCCAACTCCAGTCAGACCGTTGTTGTCCGGCCAAGAAAGTTTGGATACTTCAACTTCACTGCCGCAGAGGTATTAAACTGATATAATAATGTCCTTAAAGACGGCGGTCTTCGCTGCAAATTAGACACATAAATCCCGTTGATATGACAAGCCTAGGCGGATTTGGCGAAAATCACTTTTTAAATGCCGCACTTATGACGAAATTTAGAGATATAGCTAATCATGGGGCGGAATTGATCCTAGTACAGTACGAGAATAGAGTTGGATCTTGGTATTAATTTAGTAAAACTTGTAAAATCCCTGACATCTGGAATGGCGGACTGGTCTTAGATCTTATATTGAACTTTATAGCCAAGATCAGCATCCTAAAGGTGTGTAAGAAATTTCTAGTCTAATTATTTTGGTACATTCACTGATTCAGGGGTCTTGCATTTATCTTGTTAAAGCGATCTTCTTTCGTTTGAACTTATTCAATATTCAATGTATCTAATAACCTTTAGTTGTTATTATTGCGGAAGGATGGTTTATATTACTGTATAAAACTGCAATGTATGATGTCTCATTTTTGTGCGTCCTTATTATTAGTTTTCAATCTTTCTCAATATTCGCCCATCAATGTACGTCCAAAGTGCTTCATAATTAGTACGTTCTCTTTTATGCAAATTGCAACAAATAATGTTTAAATTATTACCAGCCAAAGTGAGCAGAGGCGCAGCGGGGGGGGGGGGGGGGGGGGGGGGGGGGGGGGGGGGGGGGGGGGGGGTGTTTATCCTGAAATTTTGATTTTTTTTGAAGGAAATCTTGTAATTTTTACGATTTCTCCTTATTTACATGCCAAGTCCCCTTCCCCTCTATTCCTAGGTAATAATATTGGTTTGTTCAGGTTAGTTACGCTGGTACTGAAGGAAGCAGTGTTGTGCTGACCGGTCTGAGTTCTGACCCAGGACAAGGTGTTATCATAGCTGCCAGGGACTACGAGAAGCAGTTCTCATCCCACTTCGTAAGTTTGAACAAACTAAGGGATATTTAACTATTAGAATTCTTCGACCAATAGTGTTAGTTGCAGTATTGAAAATAAAGGGAAATTGCCTAAAGAAATTTCTTTATTTAAATTCTTCTATCCCCCCCCCCCCTCTGAAAGTAAATGGCTAATTTGTATTGTTAGTCCGAAAATATTCAGTTTTCCCCGATCTCCAAAAATCATGTGATAATTCTCAAAAATATACACCCATCTGCACTAAACGTTCAGAAATATACCATGTCTGACCCCTATACCCACATAATGTTATCTCGTTATATTTTAAATAAAATTAGGCGGGTTATTTAAAAAAACAAATTTGGGATGTAAATTGTCTTGAATCATTTCCTCCTCCCAATTTTGAAAATATTTTTTATGTTTTTTTTTGATGAAAATGTTTTTTAGGGGAAAATAAATAAAATTTTGTAAAAAGTATCAAATGGATGAATAAATTTGCCCGTTATGTCAAATTTTTCATATTTCTCCCAAATCTTCAGTTATTAAGAATATACAATACATCCCAGTCAGTGGTGTAGTCGGGGGGCCTTTAAGGGCTAAGCCCCCTTGGACCATTGAAATTCAGGGTGTTTTCAGGCTGGAAAGAAAAAAAAATTTAAGCGTTCCGAGGACAAATTCCGGACTACGCCCCTGACCCAAGTCAAAGTATTACTTAATCAATTTATGGTTTTTCAGCTGGACTGGGTTGCCTTCGCTGTGATGACTCTTCCCTCCCTGGGGTTCCCCTTCATGCTGTGGTACTCAAGCAAGTCTAAATACGAGGCCCTTGCTCTCAAGAAGGATTAAAGCAAATATCGTCTTTGTTGTCTACACTTGTGTGTCGTCTTGAACAAAAATTCACACTGAAGCTCAATAGATCCTTCAAGTATCTTTGTTAAGGACAGAAATGTCGCCAGTTAGTTTATTTACAGGTTTACTTAAACTTTAATTGTTCTGTGCTTTAAATACACCTTTGCCAGTCCTATAATTGTTATCCTTTAAAATAGGTTGTGCTTCACATACTTTTAATAAGTAACTCGTGTTTAGAAGTTTCCCCCTTTTCCTTATTTAAGTGAGTTTTTATCACACCTGCCTAATCATTATGCAAATATTTAATATATTTTTTAACCTGTTATTTGCATTTAGTTCTACTCCCAGTTTATTGCTTAACTGCCATTCCACTTTAAATGATAGTTTCAAGCCTGGAACGGAAGTGCACGCTGTCCTGGCTTGTTTTGTTAAAAGTTTTTGTTACAAGATTCTCAAAATACATTTTAACTGAAATATCGTGGAAGTATCTAGATGGATATTAATATTTACAAATTTGTCAACTTGATGTAGCATTTTATGTACGTGAACCTGAACAAACTTCCTGTCTATGGAAAGTTCGAGAATATTTTTGTGCCCACAATTTCGTCGCTGCTTGTGGTGTATGTGGAGAATCGGCTTCAACGTTAATTTTAGTATTTTTGTTAAAGTTTGTCTGTATTAAACTTGGCTATATTTTATTCTAAGATTATTATCACAATAAGAATGTAATTTTTAAACGTTTAACCTTATGTTTTCGCGGAACTATTGTTCAAAGTCTTCGAAAACGACAAATTTGTGTTCCAAGACTACTTTTAACCGACACTCTTTTCAAATTTCTAAATTCGTCGTTTTTGTTATGTGTGTAGGAGTAAAATATTTTTAATATTTTTGGGTTCGGTCTTAAAATTTTTTATGAATTTCTCTCATCTAGACAAAAAGATATAATTAAACGCTAGATTGTAGTATTTTCTCATATGAAACATTTATTGTCAAGGTTTGTCGAGATAATTTATCTGGAAAGTTTGATAAAGAATTAAAATTTAGTATTTAAAACTGTGTTAAGCTTTTATTCATTGAATATCATTCATTTATCATTTTTGATTTATATAATGAAAATTAATTTTTAAAATGATTTCAGTTTTTCCATATCATTTATGCTAGTTTTCCTGACATTTTTTATTTTCCTAGTTTAAATTTGTTAAATTTAAAGTTTATTATTTAAATAATTATTGTTATTAAAATGGAAAATGTTCGAGATGAAAATGGGAAGTACTGAAATACCTGATCCTGTCTTTTCATGGTTTGTCATCATTTTGGAGAATCTAGCTTTCAGTGCAGTGATGGAAGACGATTCCATTAATTTCCATAGAGGATTCATAATTTCCGTTGAAGACATGACAACAAACCTCCTTAGATCACCAATTTCCTAAGCTCAAAAGATGGAATAAGACTATCTCAAACGGCACAAGATGATGACAGCTTGAGAAGGCTCAAAAGAATTATTTCGTTTATAATGGCTTCCTGCTGAAATTATGTTCTTTGACATATTTTAATAATTTTTCATGTAAAGTTCCGACTGTTGAATTGGAAGACTTGGAAGTGTAGAATTAATTGAAATTACGTCACTTACGCTTAATATTCAAATTCGAGCAGTTTTAACTATTTATCAAGCTTAAGATGTTTCATTTGTACTAATTGTTCTGTGTGATTTTTGTTTTAGATATTTGATATATTTACACTTAATTGTTATTTTGGTGAATGTTCCATGCGGACTTAGGTAGCGATACGGTAAATATGCCGAAAATGCCCGATATTGAGTTCTGTGATCAAATATGATTAAAGTGATAGCCAGAAAGCTGTTCAATTAGCTTACATTGAAGTATTAATTAAGTGTAATTAATGTTGTTAAAAAGCAAATAGTTTTACTATAAACTTATAAAATCATTTGTGAAATGTGAAATGGGCCTTTTTAGTGTTTACATCACACAATTAATGGTTCATGTCCATTGGACTATTAGTCATAATTTGATGGAAATAGTTTTGCTTTTCCAGAGTTTATCCTCGCCTTGTGCAAAAATAGCTATTTTTATGTTATTTTTTATTATTTGCAAATTGCAACGATTTGTTTTGATAAAAATGGAAAATGGTGCTTGTGGATTGGATATTATTAATTGTCTGTTATTATTATCTTGGGTGTTGCTGGCAATTACGGAGAATCTATTGAGCAAATGAAGTAAATAATCTGTAATAGAAAAAGACGAGAAGGTTGAAAATTTCCTTATCGATGAAGACTACTTAAACTTCCACGCACTTCCAAAGACGATTAACAATTATAAAGACTCGATTGCAGATCATATATTTCAATATTGAGAAAATGAGTTGAGACTGAAATGATCAAGATCAGTAGTTATCAAATCTAGAGAGATTGCTAGAAACTTCTAAATGGGATAAAATTATAAAAGGTCTTACAGGATTATTTTGTTGTTAAAATAATATTTTGTTTTAAATATTTTTGTCATGATTTTTATTGCAGAATTCTGTTTTTTGAAGATTTCTCAAAATTGTTGTGTTAATCAAAGACATATTCTATTTTCATATATTTATTGAGCTTACATTTAAACTTTCAATATACCAAATGTAGACCGATATATTGATGAAACATGTATGCCCAATCGTCAAGCTCATGTTAAAAATATTATGTATGCCGAAGTGCCGTAGTAACATTACCTTTTTAAAGTTGATAAATTTAAACTATTGTTTTTTTTTATAAAAATGGAAAATGCTGCGTTTGTATTTGGAGACCATAGTGCTCTTTCTACAAGAGGTTGATGTCATTTACGGAGAATCTAATGAAGTTATTAATCTCATGAAAGAAGTGCTGAAGAATGATCAATTCAACAGAATTTCTTCGAGAATTTAAAATTTCTACAGAAGACATGATGTTTGGAAATTTCCAGTTCTGAAGAATGATCAATTTTCACAGAATTTTATCTAGGATTTTAAATTTCTTTAAAGACATGGTTGTTTTGCTCTGCTTAAAGATGTTGTAATTTGTGGAGAATCTTACTTTGTAGAAAATCTGAGAGTTCAGTAGAAGAAAACGAGATGATCGAAAACTTCCCTGGTGATGAGACGATTGCAAACTTTCACACTATTCCAAAGACTTCCATAGAAGACATACAATTTCTATAGAAGACATGATGTTTGGGAATTTCCATAGCAGACTAGATGATTAGAAATTTCTAGTAAAGACTTCGTTATTGGTATTGTTATGCTCAATTTAAGATTTATGGTCTAATAATCTATTTATTCAATGTGATTTGAAATATTGATTTTTTAAAGTTAATGAATTCAAACTTGTTTTTTTTTCAAAATTAAAATGGAAAATGGTGGTTGAGAATATTGATATGGTTTTGTTACAATTGGCGGAGAATCTAACAAAAGAAAATCTGAGAGTTCAGTAGAAGATGAGATACATATGATTGAAAACTTCCCTGGCGATGAGACGATTGCAGACTTCCATAGAAGACATACAAATTCTATAGAAGACATGATGTTTGGGAATTTCCATAGCAAACTAGATAATTAGAAACTTCTAGTAAAGACTTCGTGAATAATGATCATTGTAATGCTCTATTTTATTTATGGTCTAATAATTCATTTATTTATTAATTGAAATATTACTTTCTAAAAGTTCATGAATTCAAACTTGTTTTTTTTTTAATATTAAAATGGAAAATGGTGGCTGAGAATATTGATATGGTTTTGTTACAACTTGCGGAGAATCTAACGATAGAAAATCTGAGAGTTCAGTAGAAGAAAACGAGATGATCGAAAACTTCCCTGACGATGAGACGATTGCAAACTTTCACAAACTTTCATAAACTTTCACACTATTCCAAAGACTTCCATAGAAGACATACAATTTTTATAGAAGACATGATGTTTGGGAATTTCCATAGCAGACTAGATAATTAGAAACTTCTAGTAAAGACTTCGTAAATAATGATCATTGTTGTGCTCTATTTTAAGATTTATGTTCTAAGAATTTATTTATTCATGGTTATTTGAAATATTGATTATTTAAAAGTTAATGAATTCAAACCTTTTTTTCTCAAATTAAAAATGGAAAAAGAATATGGTTTTGTTATAATTTGCGGAGAATCTAGAAAATCTGAGAGTTTAATAGAAGACGAGATGATCAAAAACTTCTGGTGATGGGTAAATTACAAACTTCCATAAAGGACTTAAAATTTCTACAGGAAACACGATGGTTGCAAAGGAATCAAATCTTTGCCACAAACTTTAATGGTCGTATCCCATATCTTTGCATCCTGATGGTTTAAACCTTTGATATTTCAAACTTAGAAAATATATAGGAAGATATAGACATTAGAAACCAAGAGTTTGGGACAAAAACGAAATTCTTTTAAACAGCTGACGAGAAAGTGAGATAGTTTTAAATAATACCTTGTATAAGAAAATCATAATTTTAAATATTTTTGTGTTTGTTGTTCTAATATTTATTTGTGCACTGTATGGTTTGAAATATCATTTAAAATTTTTTAAACTGAAATTTTTCGTTATAAAAATGGAAAATGCTGGCCTTATATATGGAGACCACTAAAACATCTATTATTTTTAGCTCACAGTTGTTTCTTTTACGCCGAATCCAATGAAATTAAAAATGCTCTATTTTGAGCTTGGTGTTCTAATTACTTATTTATGCACCGTGAATGTGATTTGAAACAAGCTTTTCAATGAATTAAAACTTTTTAAATTGATTTTTTTTTTTATAAAAATGGAAAATGCTGGTCGTAACTGTGGAAAGACTACTGAAATATCTATTCTTATTCTCTCAGGGTACTCAAAGTTGTTGTCATTTACGAAGAATTAAATAAAAATATAAAGAAAAGAACTTCCATTGAGATCTAAATTATACATTTTGGTTAAATACTTAATCAACAATTTTCATACAGTGGTGGGTGATTATACCAATAAAATAAAGACGACTTTCTGTTTTAAATCTTGATTTTTATCAAGCTGATAGACAGCATGGATACGCATAGACATAAAAGTCAAGAGAAGCTGTCAATTTAAAAAGCTTGTCTTTGATTATTTGTAAATTTAAAATTAGAATTCATTGTAGTGATAAAAACGCCTACCACTGTAGGTGACGAGGTGACTATAGGAACTTCTAAGGAAGACTGGATATTAGCCGACTATAAACATTCTAAGGATTAAAATATTTGATTGGGGGGGGGGGGGGTTCTTAAAAATTATTTAACCAAACTTTTTTAGATACCAGTATTTTTTTAAAATCCATATTTTAATCAAATCTTTGAAAAAAATTACTCTTGAATCAAATAAATGATCATTTAGAACATATTGTATGGAACTGTTCAGGTTTAACAATAACTCCTTAAATATCAACTGACCCTCCAGATTATTATTTTATTTTAAATAATATTAAAGAAACAGCACTTGTGTCTA